ACCCCGTCTCTAATAAAAATACAGAAACTTAGCTGGCGATGGTGTCACGCACCTATAGTCCCAGCTACTCAGGAGGCTGAGGCAGGAGAATCGCTTGAACCCAGGAGGCGGGGGTTGCCGTGAGCCAAGATCATGTCACTGCACTCCAGCCTGGGTCATAGAGGAAGACTTTACCTTAAAAAAAAAAAAAAAAAAAAAAAAAAGTTAGGTATCATGAAGGTTGCTAGAAACAACATTGTAAGGAATCCCAGCGTTCTACAGGTTGGAGGAAATTTCACGAGTGGCTGACTTCTGGAAGGGTGCAGGAGGGAGGGTGAGCTCCAGGTGATGTCCACTCTGTGGGCTGAGGGGCCTGCACGGAGGATCCCACAGTACCTGCCTCCTGCCTCCCCTGCAGTCTCCTGAGTGGGGCTATGCTCACTCCCCATCCTGGTCTCGGCCTGAACCCTGCAGCAGGCAGGTAAAACTCCTTGTCTCAGAGAGGGGCCCACCAGGTCACCTGCTGGAGTTGGCTCCACAGTCCAAATAGGTGTTGGCAGGAACTGGTGTCACTAGACCCCAGGGGACGCCCCCAGGACCTCCTCCCTCAGCCACCTATACTGGCACCCACAGTCGAGACAGGCTCACGATTGAAAGCAGCCAAGAGCCGGTGAAGTGGGGTCAGCTTGCTCCCTGCGGGATAGGGCCCCTTCCCAGAGGTGCACAGGTGAGGACATGCAGTGAGACAGCTGCAGGTGACCCCTGGGCCACCGGTGCTGGGACACAGTAACTGCCGTGAAGGGGACTAAAGCAGCAGCCAGAAACAGCCGCAGGCAGGGCAGGTCCTGTTCAGGCCCCAGGCTGGCTGGCTCTCACATGTTAAATACTGTTGAATAATGATGATAGGTTTGTCACAGCTGGTTGTTCTGTCCCACTCAATGACTGTAGCCACATCATTTATGAACCAGATAAGTGACCTTAATAAAAACAATGCAGATAGCCCAGTCTTTCCTAAACCTTTGCAATCCGGACTCATCTTTTTAATTATTAAAATTTTTTGAGAGACTAGGTCTCCTATGTTGCCCGGGCTGGGGTGCCATGACTCTTCGCAGGCATGATCATACGCACCGCAGCCCTGACCTCCTGTGCTCAGGCAATCCTCACACCGCGGTCTCCCAAGTAGCTAGGACTGCAGGTGCACGACACCAGGGCCAGCTGAGGACTCAGCGCTGAGGTGGGGAGGATGGCCTTCCCAAAAAGAAACAAATGGAGTGTGTTTGGTATAATTGAAGCAAAGCCAAAGTACCCATCGTCTCTTCTCATTCTCCTTTCTAAACTGCCAAGAAATGGACGAACTTCCACTGAGTCCTCCCTGTGGGTGTGTGGATGCACACACAGTCTAACACACAAACACGTGTGCAGTCTCGCTCACAAATGTGTGTGCAGTCTCGCACACAAACACACATGCACAGTCTCGCATACAAATGCGTGTGCCCAGTCTCACACACAAATGCACGTGCACAGTCTTGCATATAAATGCATGTGCACACAGTCTCACATACCAACACATGTGCACAGTCTCAAATACACGTGTGCACAGTCTCAAATACAAACGTGTGTGCACAGTGTCACACAAATGCATGTGTGCACAGTCTGGCACACAAACGCGTGTGCACACACAGTCACATATAAATGCGCATGTGCACAGTCTCCCATACAAATGCGTGTGCACACACACAGTCTCGCATACAAATGCATATGCACGAACACACACACATGCCCTTTTGTGTGCTGGCTTGCTGGTCTAAACACACTCCCCTGCAGGCTGCTGCTTTTCCGTGATGACACATCTGGGCCTTGCTATGCAGCAGTGTGCTCAGCAGGCCCATGTGACATGGCACCAAAAATGAGAATAAGTGCCAGGAGCTTTCGGAGTAGGTAGGAACCGCCCCACACTTTTAGAGTAGTCAACAAAAGCGTCAGTCCACAGTGGACTGGAGCTCGGTGGGCAGCCAGGCCTGCATGGTGACTGCATGGAAAGCACTGTGAGGGCATGGCTCACCCTGGCACCTCAACGGCCGCACGGCATTCCAGGGTCTGGACTCCAGCACCTCAGGATGGACTGTTCCCATTCAGATCACTCTGAGTTATGTCCTTGCTATTGCAGACATTCTGCTAAGAAAGCCCTTGCACATACATCGTTTCCATGTCTGTCAGGATACGACTTTTTTTTTTTTTTTTTGAGATGGGAGTCTCACTCTGTCGCTCAGGCTGGGGTGCAGTGGCACGATCTCGGCTCAGGGCAACCACCACCTCCCGGGTTCAAGTGATTCTCCTGCGTCAGCCTCCAGAGTAGCTGGGATTACAGTGCGTGCCACCACACCCGGCTAATTTTTGTATTTTTAGTAGAGACACAGTTTCTCACGTTGGTCAGGCTGGTCTCGAACTCCTGGCCTCAGGTGATCCACCCGTGTTGGCCTTTCAAAATGCTGGGATTACAGGCGTTAGCCACCGTGCCCAGCCAGGATCTCTTTTAAATAGCGTACAAACATTTAAAAATGGGACCAGTACAGCCCAACTGCCCTCCAGGAAGGCTTCCTGTCGGCATTTGATGGCGTGTGCCCACACCCTCAACGCCCAGCATGTGACTCTCCTCTGAGAGGCAGAAGAACCTCGCTGTCAGCTGAATTCCTGCTCCCCGGTTCCCAGAGAGCCCAGCGAGGTCCTCACCAGTCACAGAGGTTTCTTCTGGGACTGCCCTCCCACCCAGCGTCTGTGATCTCCAGCTGCTCCATCAGAGGTATTGACTCTTTTTTTTTTTTTTTTTTGAGACGGAGTTTCACTCTTGTTGCCCAGGCTGGAGTGCAATGGCGCGATCTCGGCTCACCGCAACCTCCGCCTCCTGGGCTCAGGCAATTCTCCTGCCTCAGCCTCCTGAGTAGCTGGGATTACAGGCACGCGCCACCAGGCCCAGCTAGTTTTTTTGTATTTTTAGTAGAGACGAGGTTTCACCATGTTGACCAGGATGGTCTCGATCTCTCGACCTCGTGATCCACCCGCCTCGGCCTCCCAAAGTGCTGGGATTACAGGCTTGAGCCACCGCGCCCGGCCAGGTATTGACTCTTTATCACCAGGTATCTTACAAACATTTTCTTAGTCTGTTATCTTTTTCTCGTTGATGCTTTACAATGGAATGATGTTCTAATCTGTGGATCACTAACCTTCCATGCCTTGGTGGTTTGTAAAACTTCAGATTTTTTTATTTTTTATTTTTTTGAGATGGAGTCTTGCTCCGTAGCCCAGGCTGGAGTGCAGCGGCACGATCTCAGCTCACTGCAACCTCCGCCTCCCAGGTTCAAGCAATTCCCTTGCCTCAGCCTCCTGAGTAGCTGGGATCATAAGTGTGCCAATGAGCCCAGCCAAGGAGACATCTCTTTAACTGGATTTGGGCCTGGTGACATAGGAACTGAAGAAGGCAGAAAGTATCTGGCACCCAGCAGGGGCTCCTCTACTGGATGGCCAGATGGATATACGAATGGGTAGGTGGGTGGATGGGTGTGTGGAAGATTGGATGGATGGACAGATGGATTGGTAAGTGAATGGATGGACAGGTAGGTGGAATAAGTGGTTAAATGAATGGATGGATAGATGGGTGCATGGGTAGGTGGCTAGATGAATGAATGAATGGATGGATGGATGAACAGATGGATGAATAGAGGGGTGGATGCATGGATAGATGAATGGAAGGATGGATGGATGGATGGGTGGGTGGGTGGATGAGTGGATGGGCAGGTTAGTGGATAAGTGAGTGGATGATTGGATGGATGGGTGGGTGAATGGATGAATGGGTAGATGGATGGATGGATGGGTGGGTGTGACGGGTGGATGGATGGGTGGGTGAATGGATGGATGACTGGATGGATGAGTGGGTGGGATAAGTGGTTAGATGGATGGATAGTAGGTGCATGGATGGATGGGTGGGTGGGTGGGTGGACAGATAGATGGTTGGTGGATGAGTGAGTGGATGATTGGATAGATGGGTGGACAGATGAATAGATGCTGGATAGGTGGGTGGGTGGATGGATAAGTGGTTGGATGGATGGATGGATGAGTGTGTGGGTAGGTAGATGGATGGGTGGGTGGGTGGATGGACACATGAATAGATGGATAGGTGGTGGGTGTGTGGGTGGATGAGTGGATAGAAGGTAGATGGATGGATGGGTAGGTGAATGAATGGATGACTGACTGGATGGGTGGGTGGGTGGGTGAATGTATAAGTGGGTAAGTGGTTGGATGGATAGATGGACGGATGGATAGATGGATGGATGGATAGGTGAGTGTGTGGGTAGGTAGACAGATGGATGGGTGGGTGGGTGGATGGATGGATGATGGATGGGTGGGTGGGTAGGTGGATGAATGGATGAATGAGTGGATAGAAGGTAGATGGATGGATGGGTGGGTGAATGAATGGGTGGGTAGATGGGTGAATGGATGGGTAGATGGATGGGTGGGTGGGATAAATGGTTGGATGGATGGATGGATGGATGGATGGATGGATGGACAGGTAGGTGTGTAGACGGACAGATGAACAATGGGTGACTCACGGAAACACTCAGCCATAAAGCCAGTGTTCCTCGCCTTTCTCAGGAAGTCAGCCCGGGTGTCCGTGTCCAACAGATCCAGCCTCCTCCTCAGTCAGGAGACACTGTTGCCTTTATCTAGAGAAGTTTCCGGCCATCTTTGCGGCTCACCAGAGAGCCACACAGAAATGCCAGCTGCTTTGGGAATCTGTGGCATTGTTCTCACAAATGCTGCCAGCTAAGTGGGTTCCCAGAACGCCCGTGGCTGAGACGAGGCCCGGCTCTGTGCGGTGGCCTTTGACGAGGCTGCGCTCACACAGGGGCTCCTGCGCTCCCTCAGGCCTTCCTGAGAAGGCTGCAGCCAGAGCCCACCCGCTGACCCCAGGCGCACAGCCAGAACCTGGCCGTACACAGGCCACGGCCCCCACTTCTTAGACTCACCTTCAGGGCGGCCCAGCTCTGCACGGAGCCTGTTTCCCATCTCCATGAGCTGCTCCTTTTCCAGGTGGAGGCTGAGGATTTTTCGGGCTGCCTCCTTGAGCTTCCTCTGGAGTTGGTGCATAGATAACGTCTGCGGGGGCTGTGCCGCCGGTTGGAGGTGCAGGACAAGCTCCCCCTGGTCCTTGGCCTCCACAGGCCCTCCCTTGGAGAGGCCCTGTAACAAAACCCACAGGCAGATAGCCCTGGGAGGCTGCTGTCATGGGAGCACGCCAGGGCTGCCTGCCCAGCGAGCCTCCTCGCCTGCTCTCCCAGGGCGGGCACGGCTGGCCACCACTGGGTGACGTCCTTCCAAAAGAAAGACAAAAAGGGTCACTGCTCACAATGCTTCAGTGGGTTCCTTCACTTCCACAAATAGGATAAAGGCCCACAAAATCTCCCAGGCCAGGGCGGCCCCCAGGCTCTCACCGCCCTCTGCCTCCTCCCCACTGTTCCTGCCTTCTGGCCATCTATGCCTTTGTGTCTTTCAAGTGAACACAATGAGAATCTGAGCACAACCACGCAGCACAGCAGCTCCCCAGGGAGAGCAGAGAGAAGCCCGCGGCCTCCAGCAGTGCCGGACCCGGGCGGCTCCCACAGGCGCGGCTCGGCCCTCCTCCGCTTCTCAGGCTCCCTCCTTCCCTGACCTGCCGGCCGACACCCCTTAACCACCCTGCAGCCCGGCTGTGGCTTCCCACCCGCCTGAGGCAGGTGCAGGGGGAGCGCAGAGGCAGTGGAGAGGGAGGCGGCCGACACAGGGACAGTGGTGGAGCTGGCTGGGCTCCCCCTCAGCACCCCAGGCTCGGGCCAACCCTAGATCTGAAGCCCTGGGAAGCACCGCGTTGTCCTTGCTCCGCGCAGTCTGAACTCGCGGCCCACACCATGCCAGGGCTACGGAAGACAGTCCCAGCACAAAAAGACGCCTGGACTGAAAATGGGGGTCCAGAAAAAACCACTGACGTCCAGGCCCTGGTGAGACGGGAGCTGATGGCCTACTTCCCCCATGCCACTCCCAGCCCCTGCGAGGAGCCAGGCTGCACTGTGCCCCGGCCACTCGAGCTCCCGAGTCCCTGGAACAGACCAGCACGCCCTGTTCCTGCCAGCTTCCTGGTGTGTCTTTCCAGGGCTGGCAGGTGCTGCTGCCCTCCAGGTGCTACTGTTCTTCGGACGGCCTGGGGCATGGCCGCTGTACGCAGTGCCTCCGGGCATGTGTCGCAGGCTTGTGTGGGGCACTCAGGGGCCACAGGGATGACACAGCAAAGAGGAGGGACGTCTGCCTTCCTCTTGGACAGAGAAAGCTCTGTGGTGCTGCAGGCCCCAGCTGAGGCCAGGTGCAGGGCAGCCCCAGGGAGGGCCTGAGTCCCGACTGCCTTCCTCCAGGGAGTGGGCCTTGTGCCTACTCTGGGAGCAACTCTCTCCCCGATGGCTGGCACATGTGGAGCAGAGGCGCACCCACAGCCCTGCGAGGATGGACAGGAATGGGCTCCTGGGCCTGGGAGAGGCCAAGGCAGATCCCGAGGAAGGGAGGCCTGCTGGTAAAACAGACGGCAGATGGCCCGGAGCGGGGGCAGGGCGGCTAGGCAGTGGGAATCCCAAGTCTGGTTTTGAAGCTCTGGGTCTTCCACAGGAACACACTGGGTTATTTTGTTACTTTAACTGAGGAAAGAACAGTCCTGAAAACGGACTTTGCAAACCTCAAAATGCTTAGAGACTGAAGAGAACATTTCCTCTTCAAAAGCAGTCCCACCTCCTGGCAAAGACGCCCTGATGTCGCCCTGGGCCCTTGTGGCTGGTACCAGGCTCGAGGGGCTCTGAGTGGCCTTCTTGCCGTTGACCACAGAGGCACACGGAGGAGGGCATGGCTCAGGGCCCATGTCCTAGCCACGTGATTCTGCACACAGTGCCCTGCAGGGCAGGTAGTGAATGATCCTACCTCTCTTGGATTCAGTTCCTGGTCAAATTTTATTCAGTAAAAGTTTATTTTGATGATTCTCTAAAATCTTTCCACAAAATAAGATTTCTCCAGCCTGAGACACACTCAGGAATATCTTAGCCGCTGTGCGCTGTGTGCTCCAGGGGCCACCTCCCCAAGCAGGGCAGCGGTCGCCACCCACCCATCTGCCCCAACGCCTGGGACTCCCCCTGCACCACCTGGTGAGGGGAAAATGTCTCCATGTATCTGGACAATTAGAAGGAAACTGAGGAAAGTTTGGTCTGCTGAAATGTCTTCATGTCTTGAGGACATGTGTGAGTCAGTGACCACAGGGAAGTCCTCAGAGGCTGAGGCCTGAGCCTGGCACAGGGGTTCCATCAAGCCTGGCCGGCACTCACCTCCCCACGCGGCCACTCCAACGCCTCCCGGCCGAGCCAGCGCCAACGCCATGGCCAATACTGCCCCCCAGTGGACCCAGGGACGTAACACATCGCTCAACTTTGCCCAGGCGGCCAGTGCCGGGAAAGGTTTGAGATTTAAGGACTAGGGGCAGCTGATGTGGGTGGTGCAGCCAGGAAAGCCCAAACCCAGCCCAGTGGGGCCTGCCTGGGAGCAGAGCGCCCCGCCGTCGTCCACAGGCTCTCCCTCTGCCACGGGAAAAGGGGTACACGTGCCTCTGCACACACCTGGCCCCAGCTTTGCACTCATGGCTCCTTGGCTGGGGCCAGGGAAGGGGACCAGTTTTTGTCAGGGGTGCTGTGGGACAGTCCCTGGGCCCCCGCGCGCTTCCTGATCCACCCTGCACAAGCTTCCTGGACGACAGGAGGTACGAGATGCCGTGTCACGCCTCAGTACTTGGGTGGGTGCACACAACGTGTGACCTGGTCCATGGCCCGTGTGCGAATGTCACCAATTGTCCAGATAATGCCCTGACACCTGTTTCTCCTGTGCTGGATCCAGGGTCCCACGTGGCATTTCTTTTTCTTTTTATTTGGGGGAGAGGATGGAGTCTCACTCAGTCACCCAGGCTGGAGTATAGTGGTGCGATCTTGGCTCACTGCAACCTCCACCACCTAGGTTCAAGTGATTCTCCGGCCTTAGCCTCCCAGAAGCTGGGATTACAGGTGCGCACCACCATGCCTAGCTAATTTTTTGAATTTTTAGTAGAGACAAGGTTTCACCATGTTAGCCAGGCTGGTCTCAAACCCCTGACCTTAAATGATTCACCCACCTCGGCCTCCCAAAGTGCTGGGATTACAGGCATTAGCCAGCACGCCCAGCCCAAGTGGCATTTCTATGCGGGGTCTCCCAGGTCTCCTAACTGGAGTGGCTCTCCAGCCCCCCTGTGCGTTTGGCTGCCTGCTGAGCAACTAGACAACTCATCTGCACACGTTCCCGTTTGGGCCTGCCTGAGGCCTTCTCGTGTTTAAGCTCAGGTTCTGCATTTTTGGCAGGGATCCCAAGAGTGAGTCTGTGCCGTCTCCATGCGACCCGCCCAGAGGCAAGTGACCTCAGCGCATCCCAGCACTGGCGATGGGAGTTCTGACCACTCGGGTAAGCTGGGGTCCAACAGGCTGCTCCACTCAAAGTCAGCATTTCCCTTGGAAACAAGAAGTCACGTGTGGGGAGATGCTGCTCCCCACCATCCGATGGGAATCCCTCTGAGTTAGTGCCCGTCCGTGATCGCCCCACGCATCATTCCTGTCTTCGTCCTTGGCTGGCACCCTCATGTGAGGAGCTCCCGTTCCCTGGACTGATCTGTCCACTGCTATTGGCATGGACCCATGATTTCCTGGTTGGGTCAGTGGACTGCGGTCTTCACCATCACTGCCTGTTGGCCTAGATCTGGTCAGTGGAGACCTCTTTCAGCTAGTTCCTGTGCCCTCCAAACCTGCCTCTGTGCTGGAGCCCCAGAATTCCACTGAGCAGAGCAGGAACCACTGGCTGAGTCCGGGCCGCCGGCCCTCTCAGGGGAAAGAGCTGGGATCAGATATACACGAAGCCCTAACCACGTCTCTCTACACCCAACATAACGGACACATTTATTCTCTCCCTGAGGACCCAGCCCTGATGCAGCTCCAGCAGCAGCACCTTCCTGCCTCTCTTCTCCATCTGGGCTCCTTCCAGTGGCAAGCGGCAGGGACCTGGGCCTGCCGTCGCCTCCAGGGGCTCTGCCATGCTGCTTGGCAGAGGACAGAGCTGTGGTGGGCCACTCATTTCCTGCCTAGGTCACAGGCTGCTCAACGGCCACATCCATGCAGGTAGACACACAAGCCCGCAGTGTGGGCCCCGCCTGTGCCTGCGCGTCAAAAACTGGAATTGGGCTGCAGGTGGCCTCAGCTCCCAGTCTGCCTGCTGTGGGATTTAATTCCTCAACGTACAATTCTGCTTTTGGGCAAGGCCGGTGGCCCACGCCTGTAATCCCAGCACTTTGGGAGGCTGAGGTAGGCAGATCACTTGAGACCAGGAGTTCAAAACCAGCCTGGCCAACACGGTGAAATGTCATCTTCACTGAAAATACAAAAATTAGGCAGGTGTAGTGGTGGGCACCTGTAATCCCAGCTGCTTGGGAGGCTGAGGCGGGAGAAATGTTTGAACCCGGAAGGTGGAGGTTGCAGTGAGCTGAGATCATGCCACTGTACTCCAGCCTGGGTGACAGAGCGAGGCTCTATCTCAAAAAAAAAAGGAAAAATTCTGCTTATTTGTATAAATTATTGTCTCTTTCCTCTAAACAAGTGGGAAGACAGTGGGCTATGAAAGCATTGCCACTTAGAGCTCCTGGGGCCCCTCGCTGCCCAAGGGGGTGCCCACCGTATCCTAGAACACATAATGCTCAGGAGGGTGAAAGAAGCGTAGAGGAGCGACAGGGCGCCCGGGTGGGCCGGAGACGCGTGGGGGAGCGACACGGTGCCCCACCACAGTTACCCCAGTTACCAACAGTCTGGGGTACACAGTCAGGGAGGCTGGGCAGCCTGTCCTTCACGGCCTTTACCTCTGGCCTTAGGTAAGAAGTGGGCCCTGCTGGTCGGCTCTGCCAAGCAGCAGAATCAGGGCCTGGGGCCCTGTCCACAGCTCAAAGCTATGGCTCAAACCCAGCCATGGAGCTGGGGGTCAGTCCCTTGGGGCCAAGGGCCTGACCAGGACCAGGATGGCACAGCCACGGCCTGGAGCAGCTGTGTGGCTCTGAACGCAGCAGTGAGGGCCATGTGCCCCCCCAACCCAGAGAGGACCCATTGCTCGGCATGGGGCAGGCAGGGCTGTGCAGATCCCCTTCGGCAGGCCGTCTAGAGCCCTGTATTAAAGCAGACATGAGCTGCCTTCGACGTGTGAGTTTCCAACACCAGACGCTGTTAGCTGGAGGGACGACCGGGATGGGCCGCCCCCACCAACAGCGTGTCAAGGTGAAGGAGCAGGAGAAGAGGAAGTGGGCAGAGGAAGAAGGTGGAGGAGGAGGGAGAAAGGGTGGCGCAGGCCCCCTGCCAGGCCCGGCCCTCGCCGCAGCCCTCGGCCCACCTCCGCTCCCAGGGCACACGGACAGCGCTGCCGGCAGAGCACAGGCAAGGACGGCCTCTGCAGCAGGAGCCCCGAGAGGCAGGAGGGGCTGGCGGGCACCCACCTCTCTCCTGAGGACCGCGGCGTCCGAGGCTGGGGGCTGCTTCCTTCCTGAAGGCTCCGCTCCCCAGTGCTGGGCTGTCCCGAGATGTTTCCCCAGCTCAGCCACCTGCTTCCGCAGCTCCAAAACCTCCAGGTGTACCTGGTCCACCTCACGGGGAAGCTCAAGGTGGAGAGCGGCCGGCTCCAGGGGTTCCCGCAGCACCTAGGAGCCATTTCACAGGCAGTGTTAGGAACGAGGCTGTGGCCTGCGCTGGAGCAGGTCCTCGGGACCCGACAGGAAGCACTGTGAGTGCGGGCAAAGCACAGGGAGCAGGGGTCAGGGACACAAATGCCCACAGCCCCCGCCCCACACCGAGGCTGCTGCTCCTCCCACCCTGCCCGGCTGGCCCCAGCGGCTCCCCTGTGCCCTGCTCTGGACTCCCAGGCTGGTGGGGAGGATCCATGCATGGACAGAGGCGGGGCGCCTCAAAACCCCTTCCTGAGCCCCCCTCCCAGGGAGAAACAAAGGCCTCCAGAATTGCAAGTAACCAGCAGGAAGTGCTAATCAAGGGGCCAGAGACGGGGAGGCCAGAGGGAGGCAGGCCAGGAGGTCGGAGGGCTGAGGCTATCAAAAGGCAGGTGGAGGCCGACAAGAGGCTGGGGTGAGTGGGGGCAGGGAGAGGGAGGCTGCAGGCTGGCCACGAGACCCACCCTGGGGGCCCTGGGCTGGCCTCTGCCTCTCACTGCCTCTCACTGACTGCGCCAGTCCTGGCGAGAAGGAAGAACAGAGCGGGTGAGAAAGACGCACGCCTCCCTGTACCAGAGCCTTCCTGCCTCATTCCCAGGAACATAAAATATTACTTTCCCTATTCCAGGGACTCCTACGGTGAATTCCTTATATTTTATTTTTGAATTTGTCACCTACACACAAATAAAGGTTATCATTTCATTTACAGACACTGCTACGTAAAAACCCAACCAAACAAATATATTTCAAAGTGAATGTTTTTCCCAGGATAATCAAACCATCTATGATTAACCAAGGCAAAATTAAAATCTTGTATTTATTTTTATTTATTTACTTATTATTATTAATTTTTAAGACGGGGTTTCACCATGTCGGTCAGGCTGGTCTTGAACTCCCGACCTCAGCTGATCCGCCCGCCTTGGCCTCCAAGTGCTTGGATTACAGGCGTGAGCCACCACGCCCAGCCCTATTTACTTACTTTATTCAGACAGCATCTTACTTTGTTGCCTAAGCTGGTCTCAAACTCCTGGGCTCACGCGATCTTTCTGCTTTGGCCTCCCAAGGTGCTGGGATCACAGGTGTGCACCACAGCACCCAGCCTATTTCTCTTTTTAGAGACAGGGTCTTGCTCTGTCGCCCAGGCGGGGGTGCAGTGGTGTGATCATGGCTCACTGCAGCCTCAACCATCTGGGCTCAAGTAATCCTCAGCCTCCTGAGTAGCTGGGACTACAGATGCACCAACGTGCTTGGCTAATTATTTTGGTTTTTAGTACAGACGGGGTCTTGCCGTGTTGCCCAGGCTGGTTTCAAACTGCTGAGCTCCAACAGTCCCCCCACCTCACCTTCCCACAGTGTGGAGACTGCAGGCATGAGCCACTGTGCCCAGCCTTCGCTTATTTTTTGTAGAAAGAGGGTCTCCCGATGTTGCCCAGGCTAGTCTCTAACTCCTGGGCTCAAGTGACCCTCCTGCCTCAGCCTCCCAAAGTGTTGGGATGACAGGGTGCGCCACTGTGAGCAGCCTGAAAGCTGTATTTAAATCTGTATTTCTTGTCTGTGGCATTTGTGTGGGGGAAATGGGGAATCAGCAGCTGCAAAGCACGAGGGATCTGGGGCCCCTCACAGGCGCGTGGAGCTTCAGCCCCACGGATAGAAATGGAGAGTGGCCACGTGTCTCCGCACTGCAACAACAAGGCCACGTTTCAGTCAAGGTGAGACGCCAGCCGTCGCTGGAAAATGGCAGACGTGAGGAGAAATGCACGTGTCGATCAGCCTCGTTTGGCCATTCCACAGGGTGGGTGTGTTTCAAAACGTCACGTCGTGTGCCGTGGACATATACAACTTACAGTTGTCACTTTCTTTCTTTGTTTTTGAGACGGAGTCTTGCTCTGTTGCCAGGCTGGGGCCGAACTGCAGTGGTACAGTCTCGGCTCACCGCAGCCTCTACCTCCTGCGCACTGGTTCAAGCGAGTCTCCTGCCTCAGCCTCCCGAGTAGCTGGGACTACAGACCTGCACCACCACGCCCAGCTAATTCCGTATTTTTAGTAGAGATGGGGTTCCTCCATGTTGGTCAGGCTGGTCTCGAACTCCTGACCTCAAGTGATCCACCTGCCTCGGCCTCCCAAAGTGCTGGGATTCCAGGTGTGAGCCGCTGCACCCGGCCTATCTTTGTCATTTTCAATCAATCAATCAGTCAAACGTTAGGAAGATTAAAAAAAAAAAAAAGGCATCGAGTTTCTGGAGCACTGCTCACTCCCACAGCAGATGGGTTCCTAGAGAGACGTTCTGCGTAGGGAAGAAGCAGTGCTGCCGGGAAAGGGATTCACGTATTTATGGATGCGAGAGGTGTGCGAAGGTCCCCTGTGATGTCACCTCACAAGGAACAAAGGCAACAGGATAAGGCAGCACAACTCAGAAGCACAAGCAACAGGAGACATCATCAACTGGACTGGATCAAAACCGGAAACATTTCGTGACCTTCAAAGGACACCATCGAGAAAGTGAAGAGACAGGCCAGGCACAGTGGCTCCCATCTGTAATCCCAGCACTTTGGGAGGTGGCGGCGGGACAATCACCTGAGGTCAGGAGTTTGAGACCAGCCTGGCCAACATGGTGAAACCCCTTCTCTACTAAAAAAAACTAAAAAAACAAAAATTAGCCAGGCGTGGTGGCTTGCACCTGTAATCCCAACTACTCAGGAGGCTAAGGCAGGAGAATTGCTTGAACACGGGAGGCAGAGGTTGGGGGGATCTGAGATTATACCATGGCACTCCAGTCTGGGCAACATAGTGAGATTCTATCTCCAAAAAAAAAAAAAAAAAGAGAGAGACAGACAAAGAGAAAGTGAAAAGACAAGTCAAAGAATGAGAGAAAAATCTAGCAAATCATATATCTAATAATGGACTTGTATCTGGAATATAAAAAGAATTCTTACAAATCAACAATACAAAGACAGATAACCCTGCCAGGCATGGTGGCTCAAGGCTGTAATCCCAGCACTTTGGGAGGCCAAGACGGGTGGATCACCTGAGGTTGGGAGTTCGAGACTAGCCTGACAAACATGGAGAAACCCCGTCTCTACTAAAAATACGAAAAAAACATTAGCCAGGTGTGGTGGTGCATGGCTGTAGTCCCAGACACTTGAGAGGCTGAAGCAGGAGAACTATTTGAACCTGGGAGGTGGAGGTTGCGGTAAGCCAAGATTGCGCCATTGTACTCCAGCTTGGTCAACAAGAGTGAAAAACTCCATCTCAAAAAAAAAAAGACAAATAACTGGTCAAGGGATCCAAACGGACGTTTCTCCAAAGAAGACAAATGACTGATCAAGAAGCAGGTGACATTATGCTTGACATCATGAGTCACCAGGAAAATGCACCTCAAAACCACAGAGAGGTCTGTCCCACTCTACTCCTGCCAGGATGCCCAGCATCACAGCCGGAAGACAGCTGGTGCTGGTGGGCACGAGTAACCGGAACCCTCATGCAGCGCGAGTGAGAAGGGAAAACGGTACGGCTGCCAGGGAAACTGCGGTGCGGCCTCCAAGGGTTAAACACAGCCACCGTCCGACAGGGCGGTTCCACTCCTAGGTGCACCCCCAGGAGAACGGGGTAGTCCACACAGGAACTTGCAGGGGAATAATCACAGCAGCATCGTGCACAAGCCCAACAGCGGAAACGACGCAAGGGTCCACCAGTCATGAACAAGAAACACAACCTGGGCCGGGCGCGGTGGCTCAAGCCTGTAATCCCAGCACTTTGGGAGGCCGAGGCGGGTGGATCACGTGGTCAAGAGATCGAGACCATCCTGGTCAACAAGGTGAAACCCCGTCTCTACTAAAAATACAAAAAATTAGCTGGGCGTGGTGGCGCGTGCCTGTAATCCCAGCTACTCAGGAGGCTGAGGCAGGAGAATTGCCTGAACCCAGGAGGCGGAGGTTGCGGTGAGCCGAGATCGCGCCATTGCACTCCAGCCTGGGTAACAAGAGTGAAACTCCGTCTCAAAAGAAACACAACCTGGCCCGGCCATCCAGAGGAGTGTGCGCCAGCCGTGGGGCAGGGAGGTTCTGACATGCACAGAGCGACGCAACTGCACCCCGAAAACGTTCCACTCAATCAAAGAAGCCAGCCCCAGAGGACAACGATTGTAAGATTCTGTTACTATGAGGTCCCTACAGTAGACAAATGTACCGGGACGGGAGTGGAATGGTGGTTCCTAGAGGCTGGGAGGCAGGGAAGGGGTGATCCTGCTGTGTGGTTATGGTACCGGGTTTCTATGTGGGGTGGACAGAAAGGCTCTGGTAATCGAATGTTTAGAGGCTGGGAGGCAGGGAAAGGGCGATCCTACTGTGTGGTTATGGTACAGGGTTTCTATGTGGGGTGGGCAGAAAGGCTCTGGTAAGGGCCGGGTGCGGTGACTCATGCCTGTAATCCAAGCACTTTGGAGGCCAAGGCGGGCGGATCACCTGAGGTCGGGAGTTCAAGACCAGCCTGACCAAATGGTGAAACCCTGTCTTAAAAAAAAAAAAGAAAGGCTCTGGTAATACAATGTGTAGACAACATTGTGCATACACTGAATGCCACCGAAAGGTACACTTCAACATGGGACACTTTGTCATATATTAATACATTTTACCACAATTTTTAAAGAGTCAAAACCAAATAGATGTCAGGAATCCGCAGCAATCAAACCGGGGTTGTGAGCCCAGCCCCATGGGAAACAGGGTGGGCTACCGCTGGATGCACGCAGATACTGCTCCCAGCAGGCCTGCGACCCGACCCCCAAAGGACAAGGGCCCAGGAGGCTGAGAAGAACAGCACTTGGGAGGCTCTGGGCGGAGTGCGGCCATCACTGACGCGGAGCACATGTGCCTGCCTGACCAGGGCCCCTCTAGTGGGCAGCCATGAGGCACAGCCAGGCCACGCCTTCTGCCCACCAGCACTGCCTCCGCTGCCTGGACTGTGTTTCCCTTCCATGAGCACGCCTAAGACGAACCAGCTCCTAGGACCTCCCGACAGCCCCTTCCTCAGAAGGAACAGGCACCTCTGTGCCTGTCAGTGGACTCCCAGCATGTAGCAGCTCAGCGCCCACGTGCCCGCCCCCAGCAGCTCCCCAGGAGGGAGACCCCACACACCCTAGTGCCTCACCTTCTGTCTGAGTCGTGTCACCAGCAGGTTTAGGAGCTGCACTCTGTCCCCAAGCTTCCTGAGCGCCAGTCCAGAGGCCACTTGACCAGCCTGGACAGACCCTCCTGCAGAGAAGAGTGACTTTGGTCAGGCTCAGATCTGAACACCAAGGAAGGCCTTTCTGGGGAGACACATATCTCTATCAGCTCTTCCTTTCGCAGTACCCGTGGCTGACCCCAACATGAAGCTGTTCTTCACTGGAGTCAACAGACCTGGGTCCACAGGAATATCAGAGATGCTGTACAGAAAGCCTAATGCTGACGTAAAGAAAGCAAGAAGCCTTGGAGGAAGAAGTCTGACCCTACCATGTGGTGTCTGATAGAGACCGATCGCTCCAGTCTGTCCAAATGAAAAGCCACTTGTTTGGAAATCAAGAAAGAAGATGCCAAATAACACAGGGCCGAAGAAGAAAATCACGAAGGACGGAAGGATGGCAACAACAGCTCCTTCCAGACTTCAGGAATGCATCTCAAGTCGTCCTTCTGAGAATGATTACAGCTTTAGAGAAATAGTTCAGAAAAGAAGAAAGGCCAAAAACCAGTGAGCAAAACATCCATCTCAAGAAATCAGAGGGCCAGGTGCAGTGGCCCAGGCCTGTGATCCCATCACATTGGGAGGCTGAGGCAGGAGGATCCCTCAATCCCAGGAATTCAAGGTTACAGTGAACTATGATCGCGTCACTGCACTCCAGCCTGGATGACAGAGTGAGACCCTGTCTCTCTTTCTCTCTCTCTCTCTCTCTCTCTCTCTCTCTCTCTCTCACACACACACACACACACACACAGAGAGAGAGAGAGAGAGAGAGAGAGAGAGAGCGAGAGCGAGAAATTTAAAACAAATGACCAAATTAAAGCCAAACAGGGCAGGGCATGGTGGCTCAGGTTTGTAATCTCAGCACTTTGGGAGGCTGAGATGGGCAGATCGCCTGAGGTCAGGAGTTCAAGATCAACCTTGCCATCGCCTGAGGTCAGGAGTTCAAGACCAACCTTGCCAATATGGCAAAACCCTGTCTCTGCTAAAAAGATACAAATATCAGCCAGGCGTGGTGGTGTGTACCTGTGGTCCCAGCTACTTGGGAGGCTGAGGCACGAGAATCGTTTGAAATTGGGAGGCGGAGCTTGCAGTGAGCTGAGATTTCGCCACTACACTCCAGACTGGGTGATAGACTGTTTCCAACAACAACAACAACAAAAAAGCCAAATAAAGTAGGAGGAAGAAAGAATAAAGTTCATATCAGATATTGAGGAAACGGACAATAAATGTAGAGAATCAACAAAATTTATTTTAGTCTTTGAGAAGGCTAAAATAAATTAAGCAGGAAAAAATAGAAGCAAATGACCAATATAATGAACGGCAAAAAGGAATCATCACTTTAGATCTCACAGACATTTAAAAACTTGGCCGGGCACGGTGGCTCACGCCTGTAATCCCAGCACTGTGGGAGGCCGAGGCGGGTGGATCACGAGGTCAAGAGATCGAGACCATCCTGGTCAACATGGTGAAACCCTGTCTCTACTAAAAATACAAAAAATTAGCTGGGCATGGTGGCATGTGCCTGTAATCCCAGCTACTCAGGAGGCTGAGGCAGGAGAATTGCCTGAACCCAGGAGGCGGAGGTTGCGGTGAGCCGAGATCGCGCCATTGCACTCCAGCCTGGGTAACAAGAGCGAAACTCCGTCTCAAAATAAATAAATAAATAAAACTCATAGGAGGATATTATAAGCAACTTTATGTCAAAAGTTTGAAAATTTAGATGAAATGGAAAATTTCTTAGTAAAATATAACATCAAAAATGTACAAAAAAGAAAATCCGGATGTCCTGTAACTACGAAAAAAAAACTGAATTCACAATTTTAAACCTTCCCACAAAAACAACTCCAGGCCCTGCTGGTTTCACAGTTGAATTCTACCAATTATTTAAGAAAAAGTAATGTAAGTCTGATACAAACTTTTTTAGAAAACAGAAAAATAGAGAATACTTTCCAACATATTTACAAGGCCAGAGTAACTTCGATTCCAAAACCTCACATCAACATTATGAGAAATGAAAATTACTGGCCAGTCTTGCTCCTGAACATAAATAATTCTCAATAAAACACTGGCAGACCAAGCTGGGCATGGTGGCCCACACCTGTAATCCCAGCTACACAGGAGGCCAAGGCAAGAAGATGGCTTGAGCTCAGGAGTTCAAGAATAGCCTGTTCAAAGAGCGAGACCGTGTCTCAGATAAACAAAAAACAAAAGAAGTATCAGCGAACAAAGTCTGTCGATATATAAAAAGAAGAATCTATCGTAGCACATTAAATTCACCTGGAACTGCGAGGTTGGTCTCACAAAATGAAACCGCAGTTCGCCTCACTCGTCTCGGCTAAAGGTCCAGCCAGAACACAAAAGGCCCCACTAGGGGGAGATCCTGAACGCTGAGAAGAGAAGGCTGAGCGTCGCGGGGCCTCGGATCCCAGGGGCGGCTGGCAGGGAGTCCTTCATCTCCTTCCTGCACATGCTGAGCTGGTGCCAGGCCGCCACAACCCAGAGCTCAGACCAAAAAAAAAAAAAAAGCCTAAGAGAAGCTGCTCCTGGGACCAAAGGGACCAAAGGGGCCGGAAGAGGGGGACCCCACCTGCCTTCCTGCCAGCCCACGGCCCTACAGCCTGCTGCAGACAAAGTCTAATGCGGCTTCCAGGAGAGCACGTGCTGAGGGTCACAGGAGGAAGGAGGCCTGCATGAAGGCCCCGGGGACTCGCTGTATAAAACCAGCCAGAATCAACAGAACCAGCACAGCAAAACCTCTGGCAAGTGGGCCCAGTGCAGGGACACTGCCCAGGATGTGACTGGCCACTTGGTGACTCACGTGTGGGCAGAGCAACACAGCATCATCAAGGCTCCGGAAAGTAACAGACATTCAAACCTCAGCCCACCAGAGTGGGCCAGGATACAGTGTGAACCCAGAAAGGTTGACTACCTGATAAAATAAAAGGCAGCGTTAAAATAGGTTTCATAAGAACAAGAATTTCATAATGTGGCATTCAAAATGTTCCTGATACATTAAAAAATTACTGGAGGCTGCCTGTCATCCCAGCACTTTGGGAGGCAAGGCCGGAGGATCGCTAGAGCCAAGGACTTTGAGAGTAGCCTTGGCAATACAGTGAGAGCCCATCTCCAGTTTTAAAGAAATGAAAAAAAAACCACTACTCACCATACTGATGACCAAAAAAACCTCAATGTGAATAAAATAGACAGCACTAAGATGACACAGACAATGGAATTATGGGATGAAGATTTTAAAGTAGCCATAATAAAAATACTCCAGCAAGTTACTGGGGACAGCGGAGGTGGAAGAATTGCTTGAAGCCAAGAGTTTAAGATCAGCCTGGGCAACACAGTGAGACCCCGTCTCTACAAAAAAAATAACAAAAATTAGCCAGGCATGGATGGTCCCTATAACCCCAGCTCTTCAGGAGGATCACTTGAGCCCGGGAGGTCCAGGCTGCCATGAGCCATGACCACGCCACTGTGCTCCAGCCTGGGTGACAGAACAAGACGCTGTCTCTAAACAAACACACAAATACACAAACAAAAAACTCTGGTGAGCAATTTGATATGCTCTAAAATCACACGGCAAAATGGAAGTTTCAGTAAAGTAACATATAAAGAAAACTAAGGCCCGTGTGATGGCTCATGCCTGTCATCCCAACATTTTGGGAGGCTGAGGCAGGAGCATCACTTGAAGCCAGAAGTTCAAGACCAGCCTGGGCAACATAGTGATATTTGTAGAGTGATATTTCATCTCTACAAATATAAAAAGAAATTAGCTGGGCATGGTGGTGCCCACCTGTAGCTTAGAGATCCAGCTACTTGGCAGGCTAAGGTGGGAGGATCCCTTGAACCCAGGGGGTCATGGCTGCAGTGAGCTATGACCATACCACCGTACTCCAGCCTGGACAGCAGAGCAAGGGCCTGTCTCAAAAACAAGGACAAACAGAAAACGAAAATGGAAATTTTAGAAACAGGAACAAAAATGTCACTGAATGGGCTCAACAGCAAAATGGAAATGACAATAGAAAGAACCGAGAAACTTGAAGAACAGAGGAAAAGAAATGATCCAATTTGAACAAGAGCGAAAACAAATTGAAAAAAAAAAAAGAAAACAAAAAAACACAGCCTCAGGGACCAGCAAGACAATAACAAAAGACCAAACGTGTGTGTCCTCAGAGTCCCAGAAAGAAAAAGAGTGTGAAGCTAAAAAAATTGTTGAAAAATAATGGATGAAAACTTCTGAAATTTGGTGAAAGACATAAAGCCTCAGATTAACATCAAGAAGGATAGACCAAAGAAATCCAGGCCCAGATACAACATAATGAAATTTCTAAAAACTAAAGACAAAGACTTTTTTTTTTGAGATGGAGTTTTGCTCTTGTTGCCCAGGTTGGAGTGCAGTGGCGCGATCTCGGCTCACCGCAACCTCTGCCTCCTGGGTTCAAGCAATTCTCCTGCCTCAGCCTCCCAAGGAGCTGGGATGTGCGCCACCATGCCCGGTGAATTTGTGTATTTCTAGTAGAGATGGGCTTTCACCATGTTGGCCAGGCTGGTCTCAAACTCCTGACCTCAAGTGATCCACCCGCCTCAGCTTCCCAAAGTGCTGAGATTACCGGCATCTGCCACCACGCCCTGCTAATTTTTTTATTTTTAGTAGAGACAGGGTTTCGCCATGTTGGCCAGGCTGGTCTTAAACTCCTGATCTCAGGCGATGCATCTGCCTTGGTCTTCCAAAGTGCTGGGATTACAGGCATGAGCCACGGCGCCCGGTCTGTCAACGTAATTTTGAAAATCAAGTGTGAAAGAGAAGTCTATCATATGTATGCTTCCCATTCTCCTGCACTCCTGACGTTCCTTCCTTCTGCTGTGTCTAAAGTACTTCCTTTATCGGCCAGGCACGGTGGCTCACGCCTGTAATCCCAGCACTTTGGGAGGCCAAGGCAGGCAGATGGCCTGAGGTTGGGAGTTCTTCAAGACCAGCCTGACTAACATGGAGAAACCCTGTCTCTACTAAAAACACACAAAAAAATTTAGCCGGGTGTGGTGGCGCATACCTGTAATCCCGGCTATACGGGAGGCTGAGGCAGGAGAAACATTTGAACCTGGGAGATGGAGGTTGCCGTGGGCCGAGATCGCGCCATTGCACTCCAGCCTGGGCAACAAGAGCAAAACTCCGTCTCTTAAAAAAAAAAAAAAAAAAGGTACCTCTTTTATCACTTCTTTTAGATCCAGTCTGTTGGTCTTAAACATTTTCTTTCTCTGAGAATGTATTCATTCTCATTCCTGAAGAATATTTTTACTGAATGTACAATTATGGTTTGACAGTTTTTTTTGCTTTCAGTACTTGAAAATATGAGGCTGCTTCCTTCTGATGAGAAATTTGATGCTAGTTGCTGCTGAGAGCCCAGCACTGCTCAAGTCACGTCCCCAGCAGGCTGTGCATCGCTCGCTCTGCGTGCTTTCAAGAGCTTTTGTCTTTAGGCCAGGTGTGGTGGCGCACACCTGTGATCCCAGCACTTTGGGAGGCTGAGGCAAGTGATTACATGACGCCAGGAGTTGAGATCAGCCTGGCCAGCATGGTGAAACCCTGTCTCTACTAAAAATACAAATGCCACCAGCTGGACATGGTGGCACATGCCTGTAATCCCAGCTACTTTGGAGGCTGAGGCATGAGAATTGCTTGAACCCGGGAGGCAGAGGTTGTAGTGAGCTGAGACTGCACCACTGCACACTCCCAACAGAGTGAGATTCTGTCTCAAAAAAACAAAAACAAAAACAAAACAAAACAAAACAAAAGAAATTCATTTCAAATATAAAGAGAGAGGTAGGTAAAAAGAAAAAGTGATGAAAAAGTTATACCACACAAATGCTAATCAAAAGAAAGCTCCAGTGGATTAATTAATATCAGACAAGGTACACCACAGAACAAAGAACGACCCTAGAACAAAGAGGAAGATTACATAACAATATAAGGGTCAATTATCCTAAAAAAAAAAAAGACTCAGCAGGGCACAGTGGCTATGCCTGTAATCCCAGCACTTTGGGAGGCTGAGGCAGGTGGATCACCTGAGGTCAGGAGTTAAGACCAACTTTGCCAACATGGTGAAACCCCATCTCTACTAAAAACACAAAAATTAGCTGGGCATGGTGGCAAGTGCCTGTAATCCCAGCTACTTGGGAAATTGAGGCAGGAGAATAGCTTGAGCCTGGGAAGTGGAGGTTGCAGTGAGCTGAGATCGCGCTATTGCACTCCAGCCTGGGTGACAGAGCAAGACTCTGTCTCAAAAAACAAACAAACAAAAAACAAAAAAATACCCTAAATGTATACACATCTAACAACAAAGATACAAAATATATGAAACAAATACTGAAAGAATTGTCATTTTAAAAATAAAAATCTATATTAAAACAGGAATAGAAAGAAACTTCCTTAACCTCCGTTCACCTCCCCACTGCAAAAAACCTTCAGCAAAAACTAATCCTAGAAAAGTGAAATGCTGAATGTTCCTCCTCTGGGATTAGGGAGGAAGCCAGTTATCATGAGCATCATACTGGAGAGTTTAACTTGCCGTGATAACACAAGAAGAAGTAAACAATATCAGCATTGGAAAAAAAAAAAAAAACACACACCTCCCTTATTTTATTATTATTATTATTTTTTGAGATGGAGTTTCTCACTGTTGCCTGTTCTGGAGTGCAATGGCGTGATCTCAGCTCACTGCAATCTCTGCCTCCCAGGTTCAAGGGATTCTTCTGCCTCAGCCTCCCAAGTAGCTGAGATTACAGGCATGCATCACCATGCCTAGCTAAATTTTTTTGTATTTAGTAGAGACGGGGTTTCACCATGTTGGTTAGGTTGGTCTCGAACTCCTGACCTCAAGTGACCACCTGCCTCAAGCTCCCAAAGTGCTAGGATTACAGGTGTGAGCCATCAAGCCCAGCCTTTTTTTTTTTTTTTTTTTAAGACAGAGTCTCACTCTGTCACCCAGGCTGGAGTACGGTGGCACAATCTTGGCTCACTGCAACATCCCCCTCCCAGGTTCAAGCAATTCTCCTGCCTCAGGCTCCTGAGTAGCTGGGATTACAGGTGCTTGCCACCATCTCCAGCTAATTTTTGTATTTTTAGTAGAGATGGGGTTTGACCATGTTGGCCAGGCTGGTCTCAAACTCCTGACCTCAGGTGATCTATCCACCTCGGCCTCCCAAAGTGCTGGGATTACAGGCACGCACTCCAGCGCCTGGCCAAAACCTCCCTTATTTGAGACAATCTGACTGTGCCGGTGGAATGTCCCTTTCTTTTCCGGCCTTAGGGCTGCAGGTGGGGCCTGCCTCCCCTCTGCTAAGTGGGGCTGTGGCTCCAGCAGGGCGAGGGGCATCTCTGTGGAAGGCAGCTAGGCTGGGCTGTCAAGCTCGCTGGTGTGGGGGCATCCAGGCAGGAGGGGGGCCCGAGGAAGGGGCTGCAGCAGCAATGGGGGATTGGTTACACCGAGAGGACTCTAGGTAAGTAACTCTGTTAGTGAGCAACGGCAAAAAGGAAGTTAGAATAATGAAAAAGGAAGTGAAAATAACGAAAAAGAAAGCTAGAATGTTAGAATGAACCTTTTGAGGTTGGACTAACCACAATGGAATAGACTAGCCTAGGAGTCTGTCTTGAAATTAAGACCTTCCATTCACCAAAGACCCCAGTGAAGGAATAAAAGGCAAACCATGGGTTGGGAGAAGATACTTGCAACACACATAACTGACGATAGGCTCATATTCAGAATGAAATACCCTAAAATCTATGACAAAAGGCAGATAATCCAATGAAAAATGAGCAAAAGACTTGACCTGGAACTTCAAAAGAGAGGCTATCAAAGGCCAATTGTATGGACTGAACTGTGTCCCCTCCAAATTTATAGGTTGAAGCTCTAACCCCGAGCATGACTGTGTTTGGAGACAGGGCTTTTAAGGAGGCAGTTAAGGCCACATGAGGTCCCAAGGGTGGGGCCCTGGACTGGAGTCCTTACAAGAAGAGGAAGAGACACCAGGAGTGAGCACACAGGAGAGAGGCCACATGAGGACACAGGGAGAGGCCACGCTAGGACACAGGGAGACAGCACCGTCTGCAAGCCACGGAGAGGCCTCAGCAGGAACCCACCCTGCCAGCAGCCTGATCTCAAACATGCAGACTCAAGAAGTGAGACAATAAATCCTGGTTTTTTTGCCACCCAGGATATGGTGTTGAGTTACGGCAGCCCTGGCCAATCATACACCCATGCACACAGAAATGTTCAATCCCAAGAATTTGCAAATTAAACCAAAACAGGATGTGCTACATGTCCCCTAGAGGGAACAGAAGAGCCGCTGACCATGCGGGAGCTGGCGCGGGTGCAGCGCCTGGGGCTTCCTCGCATGCCGCGGACAGTGTGAGTTGTATGATGCTTTAGAGAAGGGCCTGGCATTAGGAAACACAACGCAGGTCTGAGAAGCCAGACAGAAGCACAGGTGCCACAGAATTCCATCACACCCGCACAGGGAGTGCCAGCTGCAGGGAGTCGGACAGAAGCACAGGTGCCACAGAATTCCACTCATACCCACACAGGGAGCGCCAGCTGCAGGGAGTAGCCAGCACACGTGGGCTCTGCAGGAAGCACTCGGGGCTGCTGGGCCTGAGGACGCTGCCCTGGCCTCTGCAATGGCCTCAAACTGTACAACTGAGCGACAGCTTTCTGCAGGTTTCAGTTTGTAAAGGGACAGCAAGTAGCCCAGCAAGACGTGGGCTCTCACCAGTGGTCTCTGTCGAGGTGTGGATGCTGGGCTGAGACTTAGCACGAGGTGACGACATTGTTAAAGGGTCCAACACATCTTCCAGCTGCCCTTCCAGGGTTTTAAATTTATGCTTTAGATTTTGTATTTCTGCTTCAAGGGCCAGAACATAATCTGCCAAAAAAAAAAAACCAAAAGCCTCGTGAATATGACACATACACGGCATCCTTTCCCACCTCCTGGCCATGAGCACCAGGGAGCCGATTCCAGCTCATGCCCACTGGCTTCACTGTCCCTGTCCTCCTCACACAGCAGCTTCACAGCAGTTTCCACACTCTGTGTGTGTGCCAGACTGAAAGACCTCCCCTCCCTCACTCGCCAGGGTGTGGCAGCCAGAGACCAGCACAGCCTCTGTGCTCTCCAGGAAGGGATCAGCAATCAGGAGCAAACGCTCCACCTGCTGCCAGCCCACGTGCCTCTGTGCGGGGGAGCTGAGTCCCATCTTGAGAACGGACACTCTGCATCCATCCCGGCATCCACCCACCCACCGCCACTCATGCAGTCCCTGGGCGTTGGGTGGCCCTCTGCAGCTCTGCCACGGACGCTGTGCTGGAGGAAGGGCCCGAGGTCCGCCAGCGCCTGCTACCAACCACTCTGGGATGGCGTGACACCAAGCCAGCCCTGGTCCAAGTCTAAGACTCAGGTTTTTGAGTGTGTCAAGTAGGTACCCTCATTTTTTCCTTCCACTTTACAAACAGAAAAGCTTTTTGGTATAAAACTTAAGATTATTTCTCTTGGAGAAAAAAAGCAGTTTTCATACTTTGATTTTATTTTTATTTTAAAATTAATTAATTAATTTATTTATTTTGAGGCAGAGTCTAGCTCTGTCACCAGGCTGGAGTGCAGTGGCTCGAACTTGGCTCACTGCAACTTCTGCCTCCCAGGTTCAAGTGATTCTCCTGCCTCAGCCTCCAGAGTAGCTGGGACTGTAGGCGTACACTACCACGCCAGCTAATTTCTGTATTTTTAGTAGAGATGCAGTTTCACCCTGTTGGCCAGGCTGGTCTCCATCTCCTGACCTCGTGATCTGCCCACCTTGGCCTCCCAAAGTGCTGGAATTACAGGCGTGAGCCACTGCACTGGGCCCATACTTTCAATTTGTCACAGGGGACGCTAACTTACAGGACTCTGCAATGAGACCTCCTTGACGTCAGCCGAGACCTATGCTCCCGTCCGTTCTCCTCCCTCCCCCTTTCTGTCCCTGTCTCCCCTTCTCCACTTCTCCCTCTTACTCACCAGGAGTGGCGGCATCGCCCCCCGCCTCTGGGTCAGGCTGCTTTGCATCGCCCCCCGCCTCTGGGTCAGGCTGCTTTGCATCGCCCCCCGCCTCTGGGTCAGGCTGGCTCGCCTCTGTGCTCTCCCCCACTCTCTGGGCAGGAAGAGGAATCTGATGGCTGAGAGTCTCCATTTCTTTCCTCATCTGTGCAATCACGTTTCGCAAGCTCATGTTCTGCTCTCGCAACCGCTGGATCTCACTGGATGGAAAGTCTTTACTTATTTCTTCTTCATGCTGCCTGAGGAGCGTCTGTCAAATACAAGGAGAGATGGCCACAAAGATGAATGGTTCCCCAGCTGCTCCTGGCGGACTGTGCCTCCACCTCCCCGCACCCCTCTCAGGCCGGTCCCCTGCTTCAGCTTGGGCTGTGGTCCCTGCTGCCCTCCCCATCCCAGGCTGTGATGTCCCTCCTTTCTGACCCGACGGAAGGACTAATATGACACTCAAATTCCTGAAGCCTTCCATACTGCTGAGATCCCTGGAGTGTCAAATCCACAGAGGCAGAAAAGTGGAATGGGGTGCTGGGGCTGGGGGCGGGGAGGGGAGCCAGTGTTTCCTGGGGACAGAGCCTCAGTTTGGGAAGATGAGAACGTCTCGAGATGGGTGTTGTGATGGCTGTAGAACCGTGTGAATGTGCTTCATGCTGCTGAACTGTGACCAAAAACTAGTTAAAGTGGCCAGTTTTACATTATGTTTACTTTAGTACAATCAAACATCCACTGAATAGGATGATGAGGAGGTCAGAGAGTGCAGAAGAACAGGCAGTGAATATAAACACTGGCAGCGGAAAATACCCAAACAGAAGTTCACAAGGAGAGGGGCCAAAGAAGGAAAAATGAGCAGAGCTCTGGAGACCAGGGACAAGGTGAAGCAGCGTCCTGCACAAAGAACCAGGGGCCGAGGTGAACGAGAGGGCGAGAGGCGCGTCGGCCACAGGTGCTACACAGGCCACAGGTGCCACGCTGTGACGAAAACCTGCAACACAGCACGACGGTCAATGAACCCTACGCAAGATGAACAGAAAATCACACCACAGAGCACTGCATACTCAAATTGCTGAAAAATCAGCGACAAATTGGAAACTCTGAAAGCAACCAGAGAAAAGAGACGCGTTACACTAGGGTCAAAGGGCAGGCACAGGAACGACAGACCCTGCAAGGAGCCACCCAGGCAGGAGGACCAGGAGACAGGCCTTGCCCACTCAGCTCCGACAGCGAGGGTGAGGGCACTTCTGCCTCTGACCAGGAGGGACTCGGTGCTATGAGTCTTTCCGTTTGGCTGTGAACAACTACAAAACCAGACACATTAGAGGAAACACGGGCTTCCAGACGCCAGCAGAGACCCCGGATACCTGAAAAGGGAAACAAAGCCCCAAGCTCTGTCCCAGCTCAAACACGAGTCCAGCTAAGATGCCTGCAAAAGGCACAGCTTCCCCTCCTATGGAGGCCACTTTGAGGGAGCCAGAGCCTGCCCCCCACTCCACACGCCATGGCTGCAAACCTGAAGCAAGACCTGGACCCCTTCCTGGGACTCTCTGACTCCCTGGCCCACTGGATCCTCCATGCTCACCAGCAAGGCCAGCCGGCCTGGGCTTCCAGGAAGAGAGCTTCACACACCACGCTGAGGGGTGGAGATTATGTGAACAGAAGGTGAGCCTCAACTGGAAGTTCAGAAATGGAGACAAAAAACCGCCCACCACAGTGCTGTAGTAACACCTGCCAACACCATCAAGGACCATTGGTAAGAAAATCACTAGGTGCATTATGGTGTGGCCACTTGATAAAATATGCAACCATTTAGATTCTGTTTGTGAAGAATTGTGATGATGTGGAAAAATATTTACAGTAGAACCAAAATGAAAGAAAGAATTCTCAGGGCCGGGCGCGGTGGCTCAAGCCTGTAATCCCAGCACTTTGGGAGGCCGAGGCGGGTGGATCACGAGGTCAAGAGATCGAGACCAGCCTGGTCAACATGGTGAAACCCCGTCTCTACTAAAAATACAAAAAATTAGCTGGGCATGGTGGTGCGTGCCTGTAATCCCAGCTACTCAGGAGGCTGAGGCAGGAGAATTGCCTGAACCCAGGAGGCGGAGGTTGCGGTGAGCCGAGATTGCGCCATTGCACTCCAGCCTGGGTTAACAAGAGCGAAACTCCATCTAAAAAAAAAAAAAAAAAAAAAAAAAAAAGAATTCTCAGGCCAGGCACAGTGGCTCATGCCTGTAACCCTAGCACTTTGGGAGGCCGAGGCAGGTGGATCACAAGGTCAGAAGTTCGAGACCAGCCTGGTAAACACAATGAAATCCCGTCCCTACTAAAGACACAAAAGGCCGGGCGCGGTGGCTCAAGCCTGTAATCCCAGCACTTTGGGAGACCGAGGCGGGTGGATCACGAGGTCAAGAGATCGAGACCATCCTGGTCAACATGGTGAAACCCCGTCTCTACTAAAAATACAAAAAATTAGCTGGGCATGGTGGCGCGTGCCTGTAATCCCAGCTACTCAGGAGGCTGAGGCAGGAGAATTGCCTGAACCCAGGAGGCGGAGGTTGCGGTGAGCCGAGATCGCGCCATTGCACTCCAGCCTGGGTAACAAGAGCAAAACTCCGTCTCAAAAAAAAAAAAAAAAAAAAAAAAAGACACAAAAAATTAGCTGGGTGTGGTGGTAGACACCTGTAATCCCAGCTACTGCAGAGGCTGAGGCAGGAGAATCGCTTGAACCCAGGGTGGGGGGTGGGTGGAGGTTGCAGTGAGCTGAGTTTGTCCACTGTACTCCAGCCTGGGTGACAGAGCGAGACTCCATCTCAAATAAAAAAAGAAAGAATTATCCTGGAGAAACAGTCCGAGGAGGGACAGACCCGTGAACACCGGGCTCCACCCGGCCAGTTACAGACCTGGATACCGAGTGCCCACGTGCTCACCAGGCCCTGTCCTAGGAAGCGCGGAGGGCGCTGCCTGCATGGTCTCCCTGGCAGAGCATGTCCACCACAGCCACAAGCACAGGTTCCGAGGGCTCCCCCGGCAGTGTGAGAGGAAAGTACCACTAAGGTAAAGCGAAAAGTCAACCTGGGAACTGCTTAGGGCAGACCCGCCTCTTCCCGTCCTATTCAAAGCCACCCCTCTGCTCACTGAGACCAGTGCAGACCTGACTGCCTCCTTTGGAAAGGCTGATCAGAAGTGCAGAAGAGTGTTTGTCTCTTACCTACCTGTGACCCGGAAGCCCCTCCCCACTGGAGTCTTCCTGCCTGATTCGAGTTGTCCTATCTTTCCAGACCGGACCAATGTTCACCTGACCTATGCTGATGTCTCCCATCTCCCTAAAATGTTCAGAACCAGCTCTGTCCCGATCGCCTGGGGCACAGCTCTGGACCTCCCGAGCTGGGGCACAGGCGTGCACCCCCGACCTGGCAAAATAAACTTTCTAAATGAACTGAGACCTGTCTCAGATTTTCTGGGCTCACATCTTGGCACCCATGAAGGGATTCTGAGTGGAGAGGCCCCCGACCATTGACAAAACTGCGATCGGTGCTTTGTACTGGAATGAGCTAACTTTACGGCTCAAACCAACAGGACAATTTGCTGAGGTCTGGCAGTGGCCCCCGCAGAGAATCCCTGATCTCCCAAAATTTGATTGAGATCTGAAGTTTATGTTGCTACACAACTGCCTTTTTGTTTTTGTTTTTGTTTTTTTTTAAGAGTTTTGCTCGTTTCCAACAGGGAAGGCAAGCTTTTCCTGCTTCTGTGACAGTGGAAGGCAGTAACTCCTTCATGGAGTCTGTGCTCGCCCACAGCAGGGATGAGGTTTCCTTCCTGCCTCCAGGATGGCAGAGAGCCTGAGACCCGCCCCTAGGCAAGCAACTGAATTGGCATTTGTCTTGGCTAAAGTTAAGATTGACAACCAGCTGGTCTCAGTTTCTCCTTACCCGTAGTGCGCTCAGTGACCGTGTACATTGTGCCATCACGTGTTTGCGTAACTGATTTCGTTGTTACTGTTGTTTGTTTGTTGTTGTTTTGGTCATTTTCCCGTTGGGTTTGATCAACTCTATCTGACGTCATCAAATCCAAAGGAAAGTTCCAAATTATGGGGAACAAGGCCTCTGAAGTGGCTAAATTCACACACACACACACACACACACACACGCACACGCACGGTATGGCAGGAGAGAAAGATGGCCAGCAAAAGGAAAAAAAATAGGAGGGCCGGGCACCGTGGCTCACGCCTGTAATCCCAGCACTGTGGGAGGCTGAGGCGGGAGATCATGAGGTCAAGAGATTGAGACCATCTTGGCCAACATGGTGAAATCCCATCTCTACTAAAAATACAAAAATTAGCCTTGTGTGGTGGCGGGCATCTGTAATCCCAGCTACTCGGGAGGGTGCGGCAGGAAAATTGCTTGAACCTGGGAGGCAGAGGTTGCATGAGCCGAGATCGCGCCACTGCACTCCAGCCTGGGCAGCAGAGCAAGACTCCGTCTGGGGTAGCGGGGAGGAGGACGAGAAAGAAAAACATTAAAAAAACAAAAAAAACAAAAAAAACAAGAGGAAAGGTTTTCTATTTTGACTATTAAGGGTCTTAACTTACAAAGCAAGACCACCTATTTGCTACCCAGGCCAAACTGAAGGAGCAATGGCTGAAACAGCAGCAATGCGTCCTAGCTAATATGGTAACGAGACTTAAAAGATACTTTAAAGGAGCTCCATGGTTAAGAGTCAGCTTAAGTAAAAGCTGCGTCCAGGACGTGTGCGCATCTGTGCGCATAAATGTGTGCGCTCAAACGGTCTCCCTGCTTTTGTTTTTCTCCTGGGACCTTGTCTTTTTTTTTGAGCAAAAGCTTTTTTCTTCTCCGTTGACTGAATTCTGTTCTTTGCATTTACTTCTGCTGTCTCTTCTTTCTGTCGCACCCTCTGTTGCATGAAGGACCTAAAATAGTTTATAATAGCCTGAGGTTCCTTAAAGAAAACCAAGAAGGTGCCAGAATCCCCTTGGGGGAGAAACCTGTCTTTCCTTATTGAACCCCAAAAATGTAAACAGACAAGTTCATCTCAGCTCTTAAACAGCTTAATCTGTATTTGTGTTATGTTTTTTTTTTGTTATTATTATTTTTTAAGACAGAGTCTTGCTCTGTCGCCAGGCTGGAGTGCAGTAGTGAGATCTCAGCTCACTGCAACCTCCACCTCCCAGGTTCAAGCAACTGATTCTCCTGCCTCAGCCTCCCATGTAACTGGGACTAAAGGTGCACGCCGCCATGCCCAGCT